CAAGCAAGCAAGGTAAGCTCCAGCTTACTTGGGCTTGTTCATCTGTAGGAAGAGTTTCCTCACCTGGACACACTGTAAACTGAGTGGGCCTCGTTAGCATGACAAAGAGCAGGATCTATTCAGACAGTATTCTATTCGTAGGTTACAGGGTGGGGATTCCAAGATGTTTGAGACAGCACAATTCGACAATTGCAGCCAGCAAAGCCCATTGTTCACTGTCACCCCACACTCTGGTCTTCCTTTACCTGAGTGTCTTTGGAGAACAGAGAGGCTGCTGGGACCGGGCATTCCTGGAGAGAAGAGCACAGCTGGCAAAGCCTGGCTCCTGCTCTGGAAAAATCACCCTCGAGCTCACATTGTCCCAGCTGCCTCATTTAGAAAGGAACACTGGGCATCTTGGTGAGCTTTCTTCATGCTAATTTGTTTCCTCAAAAAAGAGGAGGTCAAACAGTTGTGGGCCATTTGGTTCCATGTAGTACATTTGTTAGCAAGTACAAAAAGCCCCTTCAAAGGATATTAAATCTTACCTTGCTTGTTCACAAACACTTCATATTTCAAGACAGGAAGAGAGGCAACGGCTGGGTGCAGTGAACCAGCTTCTCAGAATAAATATCTCTGATAAATATCTGTCATTGTGCTCAGAGATCAAAGGACCTAACATGTGTATCTACACAACTGGCATCCCCGCAGACACGCAGTACAAACCCAGGTCCAAGATGCCTTGAGAAAGGAAGAACTAACCAAATGGGCTCTGTAATGAGCTCCACCTTGGGCAAGGTGACTGGCTCTTCAAGTACGGGTGTGGAGGGCAAATAAGAGGCCTGGAGGGGTCTCCGCGTCTATGTGTGCTTGTGAAGATTCAGGAGTCTTGGTTATGTCGCCATCTGGTCTCTGGAACAGCATCAAAATGAAGGCCACTTGGAGACTAACAGGATTAGAGAGAGACCCACAGTTCCCTAATATAAAAATAAAATATGCTAGTTATTAAGTAGAGTGGAGAACCTGGGGGCCAGCCCAGTCCATGCGTGGCCACAAGAAAACCCAACGGTTCTCTGCGTCCCACATTGCCACGACAGCTTCCAGGTCCTCGTTCCCACCTCGCCAGTCCTCCCACAGCACCGCTCCCTTCCTTGATTTGCCTTCATGGTTAAGGTGACCAGACGGCCCGCTTTTTGGAGTTTTTAAAAAGTCCTGAATTCTGGAAAGAATGCACGACAAGCTAAGGAACGGTCTATTTGGTCCATGTAGACCAAATTTTTAATCAAGAACCCCCACACACACCCCACCCAGGGATTAGGACTCAAAGCTATCTTCTTGGGAACACAGCTCCGTCTCTAGCATTTCCCCTTGCGGCAGAGGTGCTACACTTGCTCCTAGCAACTGTGCTCCTAGCCTTCTCCTTTAAACATACCAACCAGGATTCTGCACCCGCCATCCACTGTGACTATCAAGGTCACCCGTGATCTCCGGAAAGCTAAATCCAGTCAACAGTCCTGGGTTGTCATCAAACTTGGCCTAACAGCAGTGGCACCCAGCT